ATAACGACAATTATGATACGCTTTATGTAATAATTTCAAATTCGGTTATTTTAAATCCGCCACTTTAATTTTGTAATTCTGTTTCTAGGTTTGCAATCAACGACCTTGAAAACTTTATAGTAATCATTTTCAAGCCAATTTTTGAAGTTTTCACATTTTAATCGAAGATACTGTAAAATCATTCGTGATTTTTGTGGTTTTTAGACGTTATATTTAAGCCACCATATTGAATTTTTTAAAAGGCCACGTTCTATTCGAAACTACATAAGTATACGAATATTTTGAGACCTCAAACATTTTTTTCCATTGTTAAATTTTGGGAGAAGAGGTGGCCCGCTTAACGCGAAACGTCCCATTATATATAATATAAAGATAGAAAAATAAGCACCCTAGGAAACAATGTTTTAGACAAAAGTTGTAGGGTTGAAATCCAAAAACTTTTGTCTGAAACATTTTTCTCTCCCGGGCTTGATTTTCGAGATATTCGACTGGATGGATTAAAATGGTACACCCTGTATATATGCAGGGTAATCCAGATCACCTGGAGGATCACCCGGCATCTACATGTTTCTTATGAAAAACTAAGTCGAAAATATTTATAACAAAATGTTGAGATGTCAATGGTTTGTGAATGGTGAACTGTTGAAACTGTTCAACCACAGGGCATTAAGAGCGCGCCGTCAGGTGCGGCGCAGTCAAGCGGTCAGCCGACACGCGACGGATTGACTAAACGGCACGATGCCGAATACTGCAAAGGTTCGATGAAATTTTTACTAACATCGATTGGTCTTATTCTTAAATTGAGTCCAATTTAATTGAGGTGAAGTCAATCACAAATTCAACATCATTTTAAAAAGACTGCGCCGCACCTGACGGCGCGCTTTTGATGCCTTGTGGTTGGACAGTTTCAACAGTTCACCATTCACAAACCATTGACATCTCAACATTTTGCTATTAATATTTTCGATTCAGTTTTTCATTTGGAATATATAGATGCCGGCTCCTCCGAGTGATCTGGATCATCCGTACAGATATATAAAAATATAGAATTATACAAGAAATATTTCCATATGTATCTATTTAGTTTCTTTCCTTTGTAAAATAATTGATACAAAAAGTAGTAATAATAAAAGGAAATATAAAATATAACTTTCGTATTGTTTCTTTTACAAAACAATCAAATTTGAAGAAATGAGAAACCTCTATATTTTATAATACATGTATACATATATAATTGAAATATGAATGTATAATTATATATGAGCAATTTTCTCTCATTTCTTCAAACTAACATTTTGTAAAAAAAATCCAACAGTTATTTTTTTATTATTTTTTATGTCTTTTATAATAATAATTATTTTTTTGTATTAATAATTTTACAAACGAAAGATATGTATATGAACATACGTGGATACATATACGTACACATTTTATAAATAGTCATGTATTATATATAGAAATTATATATTTATATGTACATATATTAATATATATTTATATATGTTCTTATGAAAAAATTTTAATCGGGTACATTTATATACATAGATTAAGAATTTTTTGTTTTAAATAATTTCTGCTTAAATTATGGCAATAGATGCTCAGATGAGATGCTCATATTCGTAGATTTGCAATATAAATTTTATTACTACGAATTTTTTACAATATTTGGAAAAATTTATATATAAAAATCCGGTATCAAAGAATAAATGTACCAAGTTTCAAATCTATAGCTTTTACTTTTTTGCCCCAAAAAATTCTTAAAAAAAGGTACAAAGATGATATTGAAAACGAGAATACCCTTAATAATTTGTAAGATAGAATAAAGAAAATATCATTTTTATTATATAAAAAGGAAATAACAACTATAATAGTAACATATTTTTTCTGTCAGTCATAATATACTATTGACTATTTATTATAAAAAAGAAAAAATGTAGATAACTGAATTTACGAAATTGATAACTGTAATAGATACATGTTTTAAACATATATTATAAAATATACAGAGTGTGCCAAAACATTATGAAAGTGCATATGTGTGCGCGCGCGCGCGCGCGCGCGTGTGTGTGTGTGTGTGTGTGTGTGTGTGTGTGTGTGTGTGTGCGCGCGCGTGCGCGCGCATAATATATGCACATAGTGTACATTTCTGCTTGTGCTACGCACGCACACGGGGAGAAGGG